TATACATAAAGATACATTCTTCACAAAATTGGGACCATTTTCTATATTTGCTAATTCTTCCACTAATTCATTAGTCCGCTCAACAAATGTTAATGATGACCCCTCCACCAAGACTAAGCAATGAGCAAGGCAGACACCTCAGCCCTGTGAAGCTGACACGTTACTGGGAGAAGTAGGTAAGCAAGAGAACATATTTTCAAACTGTGAAAAATATTGGGAAAGAAAAGTGAGAGAAGCCACATGTGGTGGTCCACGCCTCTAAATCTTTTTTTTTTTTAATAAAAGGAGGAAAACATTAACAGACAGACAATCTTTTACAAAATAGCAAAAGAACAGTACAGACAATAAGGAGTTACAAAGTGGTAGGAAATTAACAATGCTTGCTGTATTACATATTGATATCTTCAAAGTGGTTTCTCATGAAAACAGATAGAGTCATGCAATATTGATCAACCAAGGACTTATTGACAGTTTCTTTCAGCAAAGAAATATAAGACAGTAGAACAACCAAGTTAACTATCCTGTATATACATACATACAAAATTTCTCCTTCTTTCCCTTCTCTTTTCCCACATCCCAGTTGCCCTTTACCCTTGAGTGCTTTCCTATCATTTCACAATGTCTATCATACCTCCGAGTTTAAATTAACTCTTTCAGGTTTTACACTAGTGAAACAATGAGGTGCTTGCACATGTATGTTTGATGTATTTCACTTATGAGTATGGTCTCTAGTTCACAGCTCTAAATCTTATTACTCAGGAGGCTGAGACAGGAAGATCAACACAAGTTCAAAGCCAGCCTGGGCTACATAGTGAGTTCAAGACCAGTCTGAACTGCATGATAATACCCTATCAGAAAGAAAGAAAGAAAACTCTAGGACAGCAACCATTTTAGCATTTTAGGAGAGGCAACCATTAATGGGAACCTGATAAGCCACACGTCACATGGCTGGGATGTCCAGGGAAGGGATTTTGTACAGAGGGAGAGCGAGTACCAAGGCCATTCCTACCTCAGGCAGAGCCCTGCCCTGCTATTTCCACTGATCAATCCATCAGAAATATTTCCTTTTATATTCATTCATTTAAGACATATTTACTGGGACCTGCTATGGGTCATTACTGACAAAGTTACCCCTGAGATGCTTACCTTTTAGCTCGGGGAGATGGAGACAATTAAAAAGCAAGTATATCAGCGAGTAAAGGGAAAACTGGGACGATTAACCCACCTATGCCAAAGATGGCAATTTTTTAAAATTTTTGCACGGAACTTATATATGTTACCTAGAGAAATTCAAGGAATAAGAATTTGAAGAGAAAAAAAATGTCATTACATTCCATTGTAATGGCTATCTAAAAAATGGAACACTAGACATGTAAGGGTTAAAATTAAAGTCAAAAGGGAATTTAATTGGGGGATGTCCGTTATATACGGTTGTCAAGAAGGTACCTAGGTATGGTACAAGAGCAGAGACTTTAAGGGAGAAGGGGCGAAGCCAAGTTGATACGAGGGGGGAGGGTCAGTCCCAGGTGACTCCGAGTCGCGCTTGTTCCCAGTGGGTTTGAACATAGGTGAGTGGTCCATGAGGCTGGCGGGAAGGGTGGAAGAGTGGAGCAGAGACCCAGGTGACAGAGACGGTCAGAGCCGCCACGAGGCTCCTAGGAGCCCCGGCCCCTGGGGCTGTCATTCTGAGGAGGTGGGCGCGATGGCAGTTTGGAGCAGAGGATGTATGCGCTGAGCTGAACTCAAGTTAAGTAGAATTGTTCTCCCTGCTGCGCTGGAATAAATGAACTTTGTCAATAAGTAATGTTCTGCAGCGTTATCTTCAATGGATGTACACTGATTTCCATATTGTTGGGCATATACCTAATTTCCAACTTTGAAATTATGTTTAGATGCTGCACTTTACAATCTTGTTCAAAATCTCCATCTTTCCACCTCTGTAGACACAAATTGCCTAAGGGAGACTGTGAGGCTGGAAGCTCCTGACCAGGGCAGCAGAGTGTCTGTATTAGTGGTGATGACATTGCTTTTGTGGGTGACTGTTCAAGTTTCTATTCACTGATCACTGACTCTTTGCTAGGAGAGTGAAACTCATTTTATTTGTTGTATCTTTTTGATCCTCACCACCCTGCTACAAGGAAGGTACTGTTATTATCCCCACTTACTGAGAGGCAAAATGAGGCTTCAAGATGTCTGGCAACTCCCCTAAGCACACAAGGCTGGTAGGCATAGGACTGAGGATTCAAACCCAGGTCTGTCTGAAGACAGAGTCCAAGATTTGAACTCAGTGAAGAGATAATTCACACAGATCCCTCTTTACAAGATGGCACTAGGAGAGCAAGGTTGGGTCAGCCTCCCAAAACACCATCCTTAGTCCAGTGTCACAGATCCTGGGCCACAATCATGATGCTTCATTACTATTTTCCTTATTTAAATCAAGTAGGACTTCACGTTCATCCTTGGAAAAACTTTTTAAGCAGAGGCAAGTGGCCGTGCACAGCATCCTGGTCCTCCACCTACTAGTTTGTGACTTTGGCCACACCATTTAACCTCTTGGTCTTTCTGTTTCCTCGATGGCACAGTGAGGGCAGGACTGACACCCTGTGCTGCTGTCAGGATTAAATGAGCTAATACATGTGGACTAGGAACTATCCTAGTAAGTGCTCAATAAATACTAGGTATTACTAGTATTTGAAAAATAAATCTAAAAGGGTTGGCATGATTTTCTCCCACTTCCAACTGAAAGGTCCTTCCTGCACTCTTCTTGTCTTACCATCCTACTGGCCTCCCACAAGGATGGGTGCAGAAGACCAAGTCTGCTTCCAATAATATGACCACCACTCTGCGGAGTTGGGTTATATGTTAACTATGGGCCCGAGCAAATACGTGATAGCAAAAGCAGAGTTCTCATTCTGCATGTTTTTATGTCCCATAAGGCTTTGCTCAAGACTTCTCACATTAATCAACATTCACCGTCTGAGCTGGGCTTGGAAGCACATGCCTGTAACCCCAGCACCTCTGGGAGGATGAGAGGGATGGCTGCAAGTTCAAGTCCAGCCTAGAACTTAGAGAGACCATGTCTCAAAATAAAAAGAATAAAAGGGGCCGGGGATGTAGCTCAGTTGGAAGGCCCTGGGTTCACTCCACAGGATCACCAAAAAATTTTTAAAAACCACTTGAATGTGTGAGCGAATGAATGAATGAGAAGAAGTATCACATCATACATAACAGAAAGTTGTAATTTGACACAATCACTGTACTTTATTTGTCACCATTCTTCCAACTTTTAATCCAAACCCATTCATTGGAGTTTTTTAAATTTCAAATGTTCTCATAAATGTTAGAAACAGTGATAAACATAGCATTTATTTACTTGTTTATTTCCTCTGTTTCAGTCCACAAAGGTCTTAAGATGGCTTACAAAGGTAGAAAACTCACGATGAAGCTAATCAAAAATGAGAAGGAAAGAAAGGGGAAAGAAGGGCGGGTGCAGAAGACAAAGTAAAGAACAATATTAAAATACCCAAGCCGCAAACCCTGTAAACAGACCATGAGTTCTGCTGAAATAGTCAAAATACTCAAACATCAACATAAAAAACTAAACTAGTGAGTTACATAAATCACAACAGTTGCTGGATGGGCCAACTGCTAGGGAGACTTGGCCACTCCTGGTTACCTGGCCCTGCAAGCAGGCACCACAAGGGTCACCTAGCACCTCTAGAACCAAACAGCCTCTGTGCAGTGTGAGGGCCCCGGTGTAGAGCATAGGGTCTGGAAGACCATCTCTCACACACTCCGCTGGGAGATGACAACCAGCACGTGGGACACGCTACGTCCTGGCAGGAAAGAAATGCATTTTCCATGTGGGTGATTTATTGTTTAGAGTAAAAGAGTAGCCTGTTTCTGTCGATGTGTGAAATTTATAATTTCCATTTCTAGGTGTGTGTTTTTATTATTTTAGGTAAGCAGCACATACTGCTTTTACAGTAGTCAAATATAAACAGAGGAAACCTGAAAAATTGTCCTACTCTGTTAGGGTGTGGTCTGCTTAGCTCTTAGACAATGTTATCCTCTCTGAGTCATGAGAAAAGACTTGAGAAGTTGTCCCTTCAGATGTTTGGAGATGCTGCTCTAAAAGTCATTCCCTTACATCAGAGAGATTTTCCCTGGTAAAAATAAAGACAGTTCTTTCCACTGCACAAATATCAGGAGTTTTTGAGAGTCAGGCAGACCTAGAACTGTGTTGTGGTTTTGACACTTTCTATGTGTTGCCTTGTACCTCTTGGGGCCTCGGTTTCCTCACTTTAAAATGGGAGATTTAATTTATGAACCATCTTGTAAATTTCTGCCTCCACAACTAGGCTAATCAAAATTTTACAAATACTATCTACCACAATCGTGTGGTAGAGGTAACTTTATATAAAACTTTAGTAGACCCAAAACACTGTAGCTATTGCTGTCTTCTACTTGATACACAGTTTCAGGCATAAAATAGATAATGCATAAATTCGTTAACAACCAGGTGCGTAAATGAATATTGCCACCTAGGAGTCTTTGTCAACTGGCAATCTCTCTTAGTGTTTGAAATCACAGCATGGTGGTTAAGAGCTTAGATTAAGTAGTCAGGATGCCATTGCTAATCACCTGTGTAGTCTCAGATAAACTGGGTACCATCCTGTGTCTCACTTTACCATCTAAAATAGAATGATAGCAGTAACTTTTTTACAGGAATCTTGTAGAAACTACTCCATGAGGATTGTAAACTCTTGGCATTATCCCTGGGACACAGTAAACACTTAATAATTATTAGTGGTAGTACAATTTATCTTATGTAATTCTATATCACAAAGCCTTTATTTGTTTTCCACATGTTTCTTATAGTCCTAATGCTCTGGGATCATGGAATTCCCAAAAAGCAAGCCAAGTGTTTGTATAAGCTAATGGATTTGTTTCTACACTCACATCTATTTTCTTTTCCTGTTTCACCCTTGTTTCTGCAGGACTTCATTGTAACTGTAGTTTTCTCATTCCTGTGGTTGGTGGGTTCATCCGCTTGGGCAAAGGGACTGTCTGATGTCAAAGTTGCAACAGACCCCAAAGAAGTCTTGTTATTAATGTCAGCTTGCAAGCAGCCATCCAACAAATGCATGGTGGTCCACAGCCCTGTCATGTCCAGCTTAAACACCTCTGTGGTAAGTATGCTACCTCCTAAGTCCTCTTGGCCAGTCAATAGATAAGAAAACATCTCCAAAGCCATCTTGGAAATTTCTGCCCTCAGAGCTAGACCTATAAAAAACGGTAATATTTCACTCTGGGTACAAGATGATCATCTGGCCTTCAAGGTTTTTATTGTCAGAATCTATATACTTTAATGCCTCCAAATATAGCACTATTAATAAAAACCTAGTATTAGCATCTGCTACTTAGATGATGGTCGAGTTAGAATTGTATTCCAGAAACACATATGAAGTCTGAATGTTAAACTGAAGCCTGCTAGAAGTTTAAAGGAGTATTTGATGATGTAGAAATTTCCTGGGAAGAGGATATTACTTAAGCCAGCGTAGTTAGAATACATCCATCTGATGGAAGAAAAATGTGCAAACTTAGTAGAATGCAAAAGGAGACATATGGCATAAAAAGTACTTATTCTAGTCATGATAATTTTTATCTTCTTCATACTCCTGCTTTAGTTGCTTGAAAGGTGCCCCAGTTACTTTCTCATTACTGGGACAAAACACCTGACACCTACAAATTAAAGGAGGAAAAGTTTATTTTAGCTCACAGCTTAGAGGGGTTTTATTCCATAGTTGATTGGCTCCAAGACAAGGTGGCAAGCAGAGACACATGACAGAGGAGGAAACAGTGAGGGGGCCTGAGGGGGGCTGTGAGCCTCCCTTTCCCTTTTATCCCACCCAGGCTTCAAGCTTATTGACTGGTAACCCCCACACCTAGGATGGGCCTTCCCATTAGCCACACCCAGATCTACGCTATACACCCATAACTGTACTAAACCAATCAGTGGGCTAATTTAGCTATTACACAACCCTTAATTTAGCCACCTCTGAGAATGTGGGTACAAACCACAACAATAGCTTTAGAAAAGATGCACTATATTCGTTGAACATTCGTCAACTATTGTCATCACGTGTATGGCTCTTACAGGAAGAGAGGAAATCTGACAGTTAACAAAGATGCTAAATTGGATTCTTAATTTATTTAAGAGTAAAAAGTGGTGTTATTCAAAAGAAAGAAGCTGTGTCTGAGACAGACATGAGCTACAATGGCAACAAAACACAACATTTATCAAAGAACAGGAGGCTCAGCAGTGATTGTTAAAAGAACATTCTTCTTTAGCAAACCCTAAAAATAATAATCTGTGCTTCAAGGTTTGCCTGCCTTTTGACAGCTTTCTGAAATGCAGTGTGGGAAGTACTTACAAAAGGGGAAGGTGCTGCCCCTCAGCTCCTGATGATTCAACTGCAGCTCTGTGTGTTAAAATCTTGCATCACTTTTGTTTACTGTCAGCCACATCTGCAGAGGGCTACTTTGCGGTACACACTGACACACGTAGTATTGCTTCCGTGGTTGTTTACAGACAGTAGTAATGGAAGTGATTGTATCTTAGATCTCAAAATCCAAGTACGGATAAAATTGCTAAAGTATTTGTGGTTTAATAATCAATCTCCCAACAAATTGTGCCATCTTGCCTGATCCTTTTATTTCTACTTCTGGTGTCTTTAATAACGTTTAGACTGCAAGATAGGAATTAAGATGAAAAACAGTGTGATGAGTCTCCCCTAAGGCCAACAAGAGGAAGGGTTGAAGCCGAGTAACGTGATGTGCTTTGGAAGATGGGCCTAGTGCTGTCACAGTTACGTGTCTACAGCAGTGAAGGATCTTCTAGTTCCTCTAACAGGAAAGTCAGCTCGGGGTGACTAAACCAAAGGAATCCTCACATCTCTTAAGTGTGTTTTCTAGACACCTGTCCTGGTATCAATGTCTGTGTGCATTCAAATATTTGGGTTGCGAATAAAGAAGCTGTCTCCAACCTCATCAGGGAAAACACAGGCTTTGGAAAGACGTCAAGTAGCTCATAAACTGATGAGACCTGAGGAAAGAAAGGGCAGAATCTAGAGCAGAACCAAGGTTCTGGACGTCAGCTACCAAAGAATAGGCTCTTGGAGTTGCCTTTGGAGAAGTTTTCCCTAACCCTGCATGTCTCTGCTCAAACTGCAAGGTCCTAGGAGAAGGCTCAAGCCATTTGACTGAAACTTGACTCTGCAAAGGAAACCTGACATATATTATCAAAATCAGGGAAAACATAAACTTGTTCTAAAATTACAAACATGTTAGACTTCAAGTAATATTGAGCTACCGTATGCAAAAACTTAAAATAATTGGAAAAACACTAGAAAATGTGCCTTCCCCTGGTAGACTCCCGATTCAGGATCCGAGGGACTGTCAGGAAATTTAAAAGTTCTCATCTTCCATCTCTTGCCTCTTTCTGTATCCCTGTGTCTTTCTGTCGAGAATGTCTCAGCATTATGAGAGTAACACATTATTCTGTCTTTCCCAATAGAATTTTGTTGTTTTCCTGCACACATGCCAGAAGGTAATGACCTTACAGTCTCTAAGTTTATTTTTCCTTTTGAAAAGCAGCATGGGCTGAACTAACACCACTCCAGTCCAATTCCAAATGTCTGGTAAAGAGAACCTCGCTAACCCACCACAGCTCAGGTATCTCAACAGCTGGGAAATCACGTATTCAAAACAGGGCTCACAGAACTCACCCTGCTTGGCAAGTGCAGGTTTTGGAGAAGTCAGACACACATCATAACAAGTGACCTGTGCCAACAAAGGGGCAGGGCATAATAATAATCATGTCTTCTACTTTAGGAACAAATTTACTTTCTTAAAGCACTTGGGCAACTATAATTTTACAGTAACATTGAAAAGTAGGTGCCCTGTCCAAATATCAACCAATGCAGGGAGCTGAGGTTAAGAACTACGGAAGGTGTCGCTCTTACCGCTGCTGGGATCAGACTGTCCTAGTGCAGTTGCCTCCCAAAATGGTGAAAGGCACAGTGCTGGAGTTAGGCTGCAAGCACTTGAATCCTGGCTCCAGTCTATGATAATCACCCTTAGAAAAATTGATTCAGCTCATTAAAACATCATCATCTGTAAAACAAGGATAATTATAGAATAGACCTCAAGACTGTTGAAAGGATTCAGTAAGATAAGACACACACATACACACACACACACACACACACACACACAAAACTAACATGGTACCCAGCATATGGCAAATGCTTGGTAAATGCAAACACTCCCCTGCAAGCTGCTGCAAAAATGTATTCATTTTCGTTAGTGTTAATAGTGTGGAGTCCAAAGGGAGGTAGGGAGGAGTGAAAAGCTTCAGATATCTCAGTTATTATTAAAAGTTCCCTGAATATAACCATTTTATCCACAATTTGTACTTTGTGTCTCCAGCTTCACCCTAGGCAAACTCAAGACATCTTCTTAGGTGAGCTAAAATTCGTCTTCCCATTCTTTCTCATGTAATATACGGTCTCTTTCCATCTCCCTTTCTGTCGTCCCCACATTTGAGCTTGAGACCAAATTCATCCCCAGATTTCAGTTGCAACAAAATGGCACAAAGCACTTCAAGGACCCACGTGCCCCTAAAACGTGCCAGCCAAGCCATGGAGGATATCTGTGATGACAACGTCTTAGGAAATCAGTGCTCCTTAAATATGTCCCTGCCAGTGTCTTGTTTATGTTCCTACTTTGAAATTGCATTTCCTAGATTTCTGGGTGCTTCTTGAGCCTCCAGTTTTTTAAAAGCTAATTAGCAGAGGGAAAAGCAGAGAGATCAAGAGACAGGAAACAGATAATGTCATAGCCTTGGACAGAGTCATTGCTTCATATCTGAAAATGCCCCTTGATTTTTTTCCTTTTATACACTGACATACACTTACAAAAGGACCTTTTAATCAAGATCTCCCCTTTTAGGGGAAAACATCCTATTTACCATATACACAGTTAAAATATCCTATGTACAAATTAGAGTTTTTGTCACCAATTGCTTAATTCATTTTGATCCAGTGATTATTACGACTTCTTTCTATTTTGTATCTCCCCGAGTGGGTAGTCTAGGGCACGACACAAAATAGTCTCTCAATTAATGTTAAAGGAAGAAAAGGATTTGAAATAGGAAAAGAGATAAAGAGAGGTAAGGTAGGGAGAGAGGTCTCCATAAGCCAGTCTTCAATTAGCTCAGCTGAGGGTCTAATTACTACTCCGTTTAGCTACTGTCATCCCTCAAGAATAAAGCTCACTTTAATTTATGTAGCAGCAAAATAATCAAAGGAATACAATTCATGATAATATTTTATAAAGTGATTCAAAGCACAGCTTACCATTTAGTATTTACTACTGTGTCCAGTCCTGTCTACTTTGTACATATCCTCTTTAATCCTCCAACTAGCCTCAAGGAAAGAATTATTGTCTTCATTCCATACAAGAAAGAAAAAACCTGAAGTCTACAGACAAAACACCTTGTCCAGAGTCACAGGGCCAGAAAATACAGTGTAGAGGCCTCACTAATTCCCAAGCCCAGGAGCCCACACCAAGACAGGTCTGCCATCAGGTGGTGCTGCTAAAACATGGATAACTAGCTCCTGTGCCAATCCACTAAGGCCCTGCACCCTGCCTATACCTCACACCTCCACACCACACCCGCGGGGCACTCCACACAGCCCCGCCAGCTAGAAGCCATGGGGTAAACCCTGACTGACAAGAGACTTCCCAGCACCCTGCTCCAGCACCATGGCCACTGCCTAAGGCCACTTTGCTTGGTCAGTGTCACCCTGGAGTGGTGGCCAAATATACTTTCATGTATCATGGCTTTGTATCACACGCTGTTACCTGTCTCCAAGGTGTGGAGTGGCTTCAATAACCTGGGGATGGTTCCCAGTCCACCAGCAGAGCTTGGAGAAAGCTGCAAAACCAGCCACATAATTCAGACTCCTGTTTGGGCCTCCTACAATAATAGACTGTTCTGTATCCATCTTGTGCTCAGGCCCTGGGGAAGCAACACCAAGACCTCCGGGGAAGTAAGAGAAATTCCAGAGGAAAGCTCACATCTAGTTCTTTAGTTTGTTTTGCCTTCTTTTTAAGCACAGGGGACTGAACCCAGGGAGCACTGGGTTACCCCCTGAGTCCCCCTCTTTTTTTGACACAGGATCTTACTAAGTGCCTAGGATCAAACCCATGATCCTCCTGCCTCAGTCTCCCAAATGACTGGGATCAAGGCATGCACCACCATGCCCAAATCCTACCCAGTTCTTCAGGAAACATTTCACACCTCTCTGCCACCCACACCTTATCCTCTGTCTGGTTTCAGCCTCCACTTCTGAAAGTGACAGGTTCAAAATGTGTGGCTGTGGGGAGATCCAGCTTCCTTGTGTGCTCACACACGTGCTTACCTGCCTGTTGCTCGTATAGGGCTTTACTCGCTTTGGTCTAAATCAGTTCATTTTCCTTATATCATTACAATAAGTGGGTAAGTAGTACCTCCAGCCATAAAGAAAAGGTAACCTTATAAATTAATGCATGATTATTAAATTAAAAGAACTCATCGCTGTGCACTTTGAGATAATCTTATGCTCCATGAGGAACACCTAATCTGGGGAGATAATGAGGCCTTAGGTAAAGACTCAGGCTCCTCACTCAGACAGTACTGGGCTTGAATCCCAAATTCATCACTTACCACACCATGGGAACTTAGGCCAGACCCAGATCCTTGCTGAGCCTCTGCCCACATCTTTAACATAATAATGGCCTGAAATGGCATAAAGGCATGGTCCTCCTATTGGATCAATAAAGCTCTTCATGCTTTGCCTGACATGTGGTAAATATTTCACCAAGGCCAGATATTCTGAATAATATAGTGGTATCGAGTGGAGAATTAATGGGCCTCAACCCTGAAGTGAAAAAGGAACAGTTTTACTCTGAAAGATCTTTCTGATACTGAGTTTTCTCTAGGGTCTGTCTATCCAGTCGACCAACTCATTTGCTCTGATTCTCCTTCAGGTATTTGGATTCTTGAACTTCATACTCTGGGCTGGAAACATATGGTTTGTTTTCAAGGAGACCGGCTGGCATTCCTCGGGACAAAGATATCTCTCGGACCCAATGGAAAAGCACTCCAGCAGCTATAACCAAGGGGGATACAACCAAGACAGCTATGGGTCAGGCAGTGGGTACAGCCAGCAGGCAAGCTTGGGGACAGCCTCCGAGGAGTTTGGCCAACAGTCCAGTGGCCCTACTTCCTTTACCAATCAGATTTAACAAGGTAGCATTTCCATCTTTCCAGAGCTAGTTTCACCACCTTTCATCTCAGTGGTAGAAAAATTTTTTAAGAATTTGAATCAGTTATCAGTTCAGAGAGTGTTGAATGTAAATCAGAGCTCTGTAGTCCTCAGTGAGGCAGAAAGTCCTGGGTTGTGATGAATAGTACTTAGAGATGAGATGGCATGAAAGAATATATTATTCATCGCAGATGATTAATTGGAGAATGCCTTGTTATATACATACACCTCTATAGTCATTTTGTATGTGTGTCAAGATAGTAGAAGCATTTTGTAGCTTAAAGTCTCTAGTATGTTCTATGCATAAGGTAAATTAAATAGTATTGAGTTTTCCTGTGCATTTTGATGCAGAAGATGTTTTAATGATTCCTAGAAGACAACTTGGTGTTTCACAACATGCATGTATTTTTGTTTTTTAGTTCTAAGCCCTGTAGGACTGCAAGTCTCTATTTGTTTCAGATGATTACTCTATGTTTTCTTAACTTGATGATCAATGCTCATATAATTTAGTGCATGAATAAACATTTTCCCAAATAATAAAATTTGAATTGTATTTATGAAAATTTTCCAGTTTGCACCATGAATTTGTTAAATGGACATTTAAAGAAATATACCCATTCACTACTTTGTATACATTGCAAATTTGTCTCTCTGGCTTTACCCAAGTTCTGAATGCATTGTAACTAAACTTTGGGGGTTTTCCCTATTAGTAGATGGTCAGTGTTATGGTAACTGCCTGATATGTATTCTATTTACTTAGCTAAATATTAACATTCTTGTAACTTTCTATGGTGTCTTGTGGCTCTGTCCTGTGGACCGTGGATAATAAGGCCCAATAGCTGTCTACGCTTAGAGTGGTGTGTTCCTAGAATACTTGGGATGCAGATGTAGATGCTGCTGTGCTGAAGTATTAATCTATAAGGAATATTCTGTAGACCTCCATGGCCAGCAAACATTTGAATCTTATTTATTGGTAAAGCTAATATATCCCTCAATTCAATTATTAAAAACTCTCAAGTCACAGCTCAACAGAATTACTAATTCTGATTTGACTATAACCCGTAAATTAAAAGTGGCTTCCATAGGCCTTTCTGTATTCTGAAGAAGATTCTCATAAAAGAGTCCCCAGAATGCATTCATTATGAAGAAAATGCCGATCTTCACCGTCTCATTTTAATTCAATTAGAACACCCAAGTCAGACAGGAAAGGCAAGCTGAGCATCTGCATTTCCAGATAAAAGTCACTCTCCATGTACAAACCTTCTGTGTGATCTGCGATTTTGGAAGCATTTTAGCACAAAACAATTTTGTGTCTTAGATGATATCTGTAACCAGTTCCTTGATCTGTTGGATAAATCTGTATTGTGATATGTATTTGAATTAAATAAAGTGATTGCATACAGTGCTGGCTGAGCAATGGAGAGTTATAACAATGAAACCTAGCTGGCCTTGTCAAGCTAAATGCAACACCTCCGATTTCTCCCCCAACCTTGCTTTCTGACCCAAGGATGGTTAACTCTATCACTTCACCATTTCAGCATGGGTCATTTTCCCACAGTGAGACCTCCAGTGCACCCAAAAAGGGGAGAGTCACTGGGGACACTATACTGAGGAAAAGCATCAGAAGCTTGCCTTCCAGCGGGAGAGACAGGCTTTAAAATAATCACACTCTGGTATGCAGTGTGCTGCAAAGAGAGGCCTAGGATTCGGTAAGAACATCTCTCAGAGAGGAGTGAGCTATTAGGAGGAAGTTCAGGAGCTTCAGATGTGAACGCAGCAGAAGGTTTCATAAGGACAGGACCGGGGAAAAGAGTCTCCCAGGCAGAGGGCGGCAGGAGCCAGGAGGGGCTGGGGCTGCCTGAGCGGAAGGCGAGAGGAAGATGTGGCCGCTGAAAAGGGCACGGTGAAATCTTGGAGGCCGTGATGGGAATCCTGTCTTTCTGCTAGGGAAGCTAGGGGAAAGCATTCAGGATGTTTAAACAAGGAAGGGACGTAAGAGTAGTGTTTTGCAGTCGCTGCAACATAAAAAGGAAAAGAAAGAAACACATTCTGGGGCTAAGGGAATAAGTCAGAACCCACAACATCTCTTACACCGGGAGTGCGGTGAGAGGGACTGGCATGAGTCCTCCATCCGCAATTTCCAGGACAGCAGCCTGGTCTGACTGCTCCATTCTGCACTGACCAGGCAGAGAAAGAGACCTTGGCTTCACGAAACATTCTGAATGCTCCAAGGCAGAGACGCCCCCATCCAGTGGTGACTCTGAGCTTAGCAGTTTCACGGCAGGTGGGGGCTCTGACAGGTGGAAACTCTGCCCCGGTGGAGCCAGAGACATGCGCCCACCATCCACTGCAGAGTCCTAGTTAAGAGCTGCAGAAAGGGCTGGGGATAGAGCTCAGTGGCATAAGCGCCTGCCTGGTAAGAACAAGGTCGTGAGTTTGAGCTGCAGGAATAAAACCTGGTTTTATTCTTTCAGATTTTAGGAAAGGTGTAGATTTGGCCTTTTCAATAAAGGAGAAATCTGTGCACTAGGTAGGACTAGGTCTATGCTTCTGGACCTACCTTGGAATCTTGGCTCACTGCTCACTGGAGCAATTCAAGGCATGGAGTCACTTTCCTGAACCTTTGTTTCCTCGGAAAAGCGTCCAAGTAAAAAGGTGGGCTCTGAGATCAGAGCACCAAGGTTAGTGTCTCTAACTGCTGTTCACCTGGCACCCCGTTTTCTTCCTCGATGTGTCCCCCAAAGCCCTGGGATGCTTCTGAAACCATACGTAGCTGTAAGACACTGTAAGAAAGTTAAAACCCCAGGGCCCCTGCTACTCCGGGGAACATGGACGGGTAAGTAAATGCCCTGGGAAACACTCTTCTTACTCTTTCAGTGCCCATCTCTGCCCTGGGGATAGCAGTAGTCCTGGCACAGGGGTTGGTATCAGAGTGGACAAGGTCAGCCACGCAGAGGAATTCGAACAGCTCCTGGCACCCAGTGGGTTCTGTCCAGGTGTGGGCTCCCCGGAAAGCACAGCCTGAGACAAAGGCGTGGGTGCAAACGGCTTTCTTGGGCGGTGACTTCTGAAGGTAGGAGTGAGAGTGGGGAGAATGAGACAGGGAAGGAGTAAGAACAGATCCAAGGGAGTGTTGGTGCTGTTGCTGGGACAGCAGGAGGAGCTCAGTTCCGTCAGAATCTCTGAGTTCTGTTCGGAAGGATGCTGGTGATTTCCCAGTGAGGAGCAGTAGGGGAGTTTTACTCTACCAGGCCCTACCCCACTGGCAGAACTGCCTCCGGGGGTGGTGACCTCCCCGAGTTTCTGGGTCACACTTTCCAGCAGAGTGACCACAGTCCTGAGACCTCAAACACCCTCCTTCAGTCCTAGGATCTATCAGGCAGTAGGCCGGGGGATGGCGACTGAGGACTGTATCACAGCGTCCCTTCCCTCATTCCCAGGACAGTGAGCTTGAGGAAGGGTGGGAGGGAGGTGCTTGCCAACATGAGCAGCAATGATCTGTCGAGCGGTGCCTGGAATTACAGGCTTGTCAAGGGAGAGCAGCGTAGACCCGAACCCAGGTGCTGCAGTGACCCGTGACAGGGGAGCATTACTCACACCATGCAGGCTGGAAACAGGTCTGCACATAACCCCGCCTCCTAGGGTAGTGACGAGAGTAACCCTGCTATGGATGGAGAAACTGAATGACCTGGACAGCACTCTGCTTAGCGAGTTGGCTCAGGGAGTTGAATTAAACACAGAGGTAAAAATCTGCCCCAAGCTTATAGAAGCCCAAGTTTTTATAAGAAACTTCTACATTGAGCAAAATGCGGTTCCTGTCATCTTGGAGCTTATACTCACATTTGGAAGCATCAAGTATCAGACAAGTAAATAAAGCAAATGTGTAAGAATAAATTTTGATTGATGTAGAGAAGAGAAACAAAGGGCAGAGTGTGTAGGAGTGGCGTGGAGGGGCCGGTCAAAGCCTCTCTAAGGAGGGGACTTTTAAGCTGAGACTGGAAGACATGGAGAACAGGGAGAGTCCATCCTGAGGAGAGCAGCGAGGGCATCCCAGAGCCTAGGTGGTGACCACCCAGTGTCTCTGAAGGTTGGAAAAGAAGGAACTGGTGGGCTGGGACATCCAAGGTGAGGCCCAGGGGTTTGGGCTGCAGCTGGGTAGGAGAGACCTCAGAGAACAGGAAACAGGCTCATTCTAAGTAAGGCAGGGAGCCGTGGGGCAAGAAACAGGGCACTAGCGTGGTTCAGCTGTCTTTGAAAAGATCCCTCTGTCGATTTCCCGGCTTTTGTATTGTCCTCTAGTTAGTTAAGATGTCAGCACTGGGAGAAACTCAATGAAAGCTTCCTGGGATGCTAGGTACTATTTCTGTAACATCCTATAAGTGGGAATGCCAAAAATAGATTGATACATCAGTTAATTTACTTGCAATTCATTAATTTCCTACCATGTGCCAACCTCTGTTCTAGAAGCTAGTGATACAGACTTTGAATCAATTAGCTCTGAGGAAGACAAACATTATCTGAATGATTGTTGGGCAAATAGGGCATATGAAGATAAAGAAATGAGATAGAGTGAAACAGTATTAAATGTCAGGAAGGACCTAAAACAGGATGTCGTGAAGAACAGAGGTGGGGGAGAACTGGCAGAGCATGGGAAGCCAGAAGCCCTGGATAAGAATCCATGGCCTAAGCCAGAGTCAGGGCCCTGAGCTCCCAGCTACAACTCAGGCTGGTCACCGGGTCTTAACTCTGGTGTGGAGATTTATTAAATAGCCGGAGAGGAGCACATCCTCCTTACAGTCAAGCATCTCATGCTTCTAAAAGTTCAACTACCTTGACTTCATTGGACCCGCCCAGCAAAAGGTGCATACCACTATCTCCTTTTGAAACTGAGGGATCGACCTGATTCCCCCACAGGCAGACCCTGCGACAAGAATTCACAGACAAGTTAAATGTTGGGGAAGTGAGCTGAAGCAGTGCGGGAAGCAATAAACCTTCCGTTCTGGAGAAGGCGGCTGCTGTGGCCAGGTGGGGCTCAGTCCCATTGGAAAGCATGAGACGCAGGACAGGACACAGCTCACCCCCAAACCTGGGGCAGAGGAGCCACTCTGTCAGTCACCAGAGCACGGCTGCTTGGGAAGGGTGACCGTGCCCGGCACTTGCCAACTTCCCGGTGCATGAGCTGTGCCAGTGGAAACAGCAGCACCGAGCATCCGCAGAGCTCCCGCGAGGGGGTTGGGTCAGCATTCGCGCCGGGCTGTTCCGAGCGGACGCGGAGGGACCAGCCGGCATCTGCCTCGCTGCGGGTCAGCAGTGTTAGGCAGGTTGGCCAACCTGATGCCAGGGAAAGTATCTGAATGGGAGTTCTTTCTCTTTTGACCGTAAGACATAGTTTCCTCCTTTATTCCCTGGGCCACTCCATGTGTACATATAACTTTAACCCAATATGCCGTGTGATTTTACCTAGACGTCCATAGGTACAAGTTTAATAACCTCCATGAAGTAACAGCTTTTACTTACTTTAATTATTTAGGCAGCTGGTGAACTAAATAAGCACTTTGCACTTAACCATAACAACACAACACTAGCAATACTGCTATTATTCCTATGCAACAGATTAGAAACCCAAAATTCGGGGAAGTTAGATAATGATAAAATGCTTGCGAGAACCCTCACCAATGAAGTAATCTTTAATTGCTTCTGTCTACTGAGTGCCTGTCTAATCTGCACAGAAAATTATATTACACACTCTACATCCATTCTCACATTTAATCCTTACAGGAAGTGGAAGATAAAACACTTGTATCCATTGAACATGTGAGAAAACTGAGACGTATGGGACTAGATGTGAGTGGCTGCTCAGGGTCACTGAGATGGGAGTGGGAGGACCCACCAGGTGCAGAAACCCAGGTCCCTGTGCATCTCAAACTCAAAGCTGTAAAGTACCTTTCTACGTTGTGAGAGTGCTACCACGCCATTCTCTTACCTTTTAAGCCAGGTGTGATTTGTCTGGCCAACAAGGACACAACCAACGAAGACCCAGACCATCAAGTGCTTTGAGATTTCTACAGAGAGCCTGGGCTCCCGACACCTGGAAGGAGAACTTTTCTCAGAACCATTTGCCAACATGCATAAAGCCAGACCTAACTCAAGAAATGAATCAAGTTGCTAAGACTGCTAAAGGTCCAGCTGAACGAAGAATGATTTCATAACATGCTCGATGGAGCCTGAGCTTTGCTGGGCTTCGGGGCTTAGCAGAATGCTTTCAGCAAGTGTCAGCACCACTGTTTCCATGAAGGGCCCTGGGTCCTCTGATGGCACCTGGAGACTCACCTCTGTGAATAGTATGCCCTGGCTACAAAAGGGCCAAGGAATCATAGAGTGAGCCTCACTTGTGTTCCTCGAAGT